CCGGAGCACCTTCCTCCACGTGCGCACTGAGGACGGTGTGATCGACGTCAACCCGTTTGTGGACGTGAACGCCGCGTTCGGGTGGCGCCTGGAGGCGAACGTCTCGGTGCCGAGCGGGTACAGCATCGGGCCGCCCACCGTCTACATGAACGTCGGTCCGTACACGGAGGAGGGCAAGCTGGTTGTGGAGCAGAGCTACGCCGGGAGTGTCGGGACGACCACGTTTCCGCTGGCGGATCTGCTGGACGGCGGCCAAGTGCGGGTGGACGACCCTGCTCCGGCGATCCGGTCCCCGACGTGCGGAAGCTCCGGCGGGAATGGGAGAGATGACTACGGAGCGTCGACCACCGTGCAGTACGAGATCTGGCTGAGGACGACGCCCGGCGATGTCGTAGCCGCCCTGGATCGTCTGTTTTTGGAGTTTCGGTACGACGGGGGCATGGACTGGTTCCGCTGCGCTGACGGCGCGCCGGTCGTGCCGCCGCCAAGCGGCGAGGGGGTCTTTTGCGGCGGCCTGCCACGGCACCCGTGCGCGGAGGAGCTGCGCTGCGACCGCGACCAGCTGGTGGTCGACGACGACCTACCGGGCGTGTGCGTCGACCCCGAGGGAAGCGCTCCCCCGAGCACGGCTCTCAACTTCTGCGGCGGGTGGCAGGCCGTGGGCTGCGTGGACGGCACGGCGTGTGCGTACGCGTCTCCCAACGCGACTGCCAACCCAGCCCTCAAGGGCATCTGCCTAGTCAGCCCCGCGGCGAGGGACGGGCCCTGCGGCGGGCACCCCCCGGTGCCTTGCGATGCCGACCTGGTTTGCCACCGCGTGTCGCCGGAGAGGTTCTTCGGCGTGTGCATGCCGCCGATCAGCCCTGAGGGCGGGCCATGCGGCGGCGACCCCCCCCTGGACTGCCAGCCGGACCTGGTGTGCACCGACGACGGGACATGCGAACCGACGGAGGGCCCCGCGGTCAAGAAGTGACGGCTTGCTGGCCAGTTGGCTCCGTGAGCGAGGCTTGCAGAGTGAGGCTCAGTTGGTGTAAGGGGAGCTGCTGGCGAGGCTGCGACACGGCGTGCCAAGGTCGTCAGTGGTGCTGGTCGACGCCGCCGCGTTGAGCGCTGTGTGTGTGTGTCGGAAGCTTCGCCGTTGAAGGTCACGGGAAGGGCGTCATTAGAGTGAGATCGGGTTTGATGGCGGTATATCCATGTGAATGATTCGCCGGGCTCGATCCGAATGGATCGCCTGGAGCGTTCGAGACGGCGGCTGTCAGGGGGAAGAGATGGACGAGGTAGTCCTGCAAGTGTGGGAATTTAATTGGAGCAAGATGCGGTGGAACTTATCTTGTCGGGATTGACGTCCCTCCACGAAGCGTGTTGACTAAGGGACAATCATTTCCGTTGTCTGCGACAGTGTACGTGTGGACTTATCAACCTGTACAACAACGTGTGTTTTGCAGTTGTTTGTCACACACAGCAAGTGATCTGACTTATGACGAAATGGTTCAATGCCGCCACTTAAGCCTCCAGTGAACTTGGGTGCAGTCTATGTTTTAGCTTGATGATCCGTCCCCCACGGCGTTGCTGCATGTTTGCTCTTCCGTTTGAATCAGCGGCTCCGGAGCCGCCAACAATTGCCCCGCGCCTGTGGAGAATACTGTACTGTGCACGTGTGTTGTTTTGACAGATTGCCTGCTTGACGGGATCCAGGTCATTGCCGCTGGACAATTTCTCACAGATCCACAAACCGTGAGCACCAGCCTTGACGCGTCCCTTCTTGCAGAATCGCTATAGCTCAGAGTGTACAACTCGAAGGATCTACAAACCCAATGTTTCTCGTCCTGATCATCCACCGAATTGTGGCAACTAGAATTGCAGTTTTCCGCAAACTGTAAACAGCGACTATAATGTCGCTTTCATATATGAAGATCATCCTGTGGATAATAAGGGCTGGCAAGCGCTTCACTCTCTGTCGGTCGTTGGTCGGGACACCAATCAAGCATGGACATGAGCAAGTTTAGTGCCTCCTTTCCGGGGGGGGGCGGCAATGCCTGTAATGGCGGGCACATGACGGGCCGCCGTCTTCGAAACCCAAACGACACTGATTGGCATTGCACCCGCCTGCCGGCTCCGTGCCTACAGTGGCAGCACGACCGTTATCTAACCATGCACGAAATTGGAGAGAAGAACAACGTTTCCGGCAGGCATCGCTCGTCGACAACAGAATGTGTTCAGCGAAGAGACTCACCTGTTGGGCCCATCGCTCGAATGAGTGCCAACTTTTTCGGAGCAGCTCCAGGACACGAGCGGCGATGGCGCATCGCACTCTTCATTTTGACCATTCGTGTCTTCTCCATGTCATGGTGCGTCCGTCGAGGCGCCAGCCTTCCCATGTGGCTGCTGGGCTGTCTGCTGAGGGGCCCCGTCGTTCTCAACTGCCGGTGGAGGTGTTTACCCCCCACACCGCGCGTAATCTTTGGGGCAAGGGTACCCAGCTCCAGAGTTCGGTCAGAAACGGGCCGGGGCACTCCGGGTGGCAGCCTGGGTGGCGGCGGGGCGGATAGATGCACAGATCCATCAACCCACGCAGCAGGTAGCTGCCTCGACTAAGTGCATTCAGTCGAGCGCTGCAAAGTGTCTGGCATTGTCATCAATGAGGAAGCAGTCTCGAGGCGCCGGCCAAGGGGCGGCTTTTGTAGAGAAAACAGATCCGGGAGGAGAAGGCGCCACAGTATGGCCAGGAAGGCCTGCCGCAAGAGTCCCCTTCTTTGCTCACCATGAGCTACCTGCAGCAACGCGGCTGCCTGAGTTGCCTGTGTCCTGGGCCAGTTTACTCGACCCCAATTCCCCTATTTCCGGTCTCTGCCGAGCCTAAACCCCCTCCACGCATCGTGGCGTAGCGCGAATGTCAAAAACCGTGCTGACGTAACGTAACGTGCTGGTCAATGCGGAAGGGTTGGAAACACTGCGGCAATCTGAAGCAGCGATGTGCGCGTGCTTAGGGTGCGAGGCATGCGCAAACGAATCAACCGGGCGCCCGCCACACAACACGACATTGGTGCTGCTCTCTGGACCTGCAGGCATGTATTCTCCGTAACAAGTTAGTTGTGTTGTATTGAAGGGTGAAATCGTGACGAATACGGTCTCTGAGTTACAAAAGTTAGTCAGAATCGGAAACCGTGTATCTGAAAAGCACCAATTGGGGATATGTACCCGCGCAGCCCACCCAACACGAGGTACACGTGCACTATGAGACACATAAAGTCTCAATGCCAGCATTCAAGAATGGATCGATCAGCTCTGTAGGCGCGTACTATTGCAGCCCGTCGTGGTTGCTTGAGCGGCAATATTGCCGCATTAATGCCCATCCAACAAATGGGGGCCAATCCCTTGAGCAAATTTCTGAGGAGTAGAGCTTAGATTTCGACGTAATGTTTTCAAACGCCAGAAAGCAACATTATTGTAGAGAATGCCCACATATCCCAGAAACGAAAAGGGCAGTCGTAGGGCGAGTTCCAGAGAACGCTCGCCTTGCGAGTGCTGCAACAAATACTCGTCTGGATGGTATAACGGCAAGAGATTTCTTGCCAAACTTTCAGGTCTACAATAAACAATTGGCGCGCTGACTGCCCGTGGGTGGCATCTCACCCTCCAGAACTGAATCCCCCATCCACCCATCATCTGTGGCTCACAATGGTGCAAAACGTCACTCAAAAACGGAGCACAGCTTATACGATATACCAGTTTGTCACATCGGGACAAGTTTATAATGGTCTGAACAATTCGTATATGAATTTCCAACAAATTAGAGCAATTCATACAGGACTGGAATTCCAAGCTTATTGTACTCTACTAAATTGTTGAACTTGCACTTCCAACTTGAATATCATGTGAATGGACAGTGCTTGTTTGCCAGTTTTGACACATAAGGCTCTTGTGCACTGCACATCTTCCTATAATGAATAGGGCAGCACATGCCTCTAAGACAAATAAACGGTAGGTTGTTCATGTTTCCGACGACATTTCTGGGAATCATCCGCTCTTCATTTTGCTTCTGCGTTGCTTCCGTTACCTCCTACTCCAGAGTACTTCGGTCGTGCTTCAAGAATCTGTGTCGCATCTACGGTTGCTCGATCATTTTCCTTGCCCCTGGTCTCCTTTCCACGATGTCAGAAGTGGTTTGAAGTTCGTTCTTTGAGTGAATTGGCATTTGCTTGCAACATAGTGCATCTGGGACACTGCCTTCCCCGGTTTGACCCCAAGGGGGGGGACGTCCTCGCTTGAGATCGGCGCCAAGCCGCTGGCCGTACCCCAGCCGATAGGCCCCCCCTCCCTTCGCATCGCCGCCCTTTTTCACGCATCCCTTTGCAGAGCTCCGCCTGCGATCGAACCTTCCCAATCCCCTACATGCGGTCATTTGCCACCGCCCGGCCGCCGGGCCGATCGACGCCGCTCGTGATGAGAGCCCAAGCGCCGCGAGCCGAAGCGGCGGTTGGCGGCGATCGACGGCAGGCAGCGGATGGGCGACCCCGCCAGGCGGTGGTGGTGGGCGCCGGCCCCGCGGGCACCCTCATGGCCATCCGCCTAGCCAGGATGGGGTGGCAGGTGGGTGAGATTTGTCACAGTGAGAGGAACAGGTCACACAAAGGGCACCACCTCCTGGGCAAGTGTATGAGAGGCTCTTTGCACCCTGTGGGAAGATGATATCTGACCTCTCGGTGAGAAATTGAGGGCACAGCGCAAGCAACGAGATAAGACAACGAAAGCAAAGCAAGGCAAGACAACAAAAGGGGACACAACTTGTACTGAGGGGACCCGTGTGGCAGGTGGGGGTGTACGAGAGGCGGCAGGACTACCCGACGCGCGTCGCCCAGGGCGGGATCCTGCGCAAGTCGTTCGACATAGTGCTGACGAGGCGGGGGCAGGAGGCGGTGCGCGGTGTGGGGCTGGAGCTGGTGCCCGAGCACGCTGTGGCCTTGCGCGGCTTCGTGATTCATTTCGGAGGGCCAGGGATGCACTTGAAGGTGGAGTTGCCGGACAGCGCGCCGCAGGCGGTGGTGAACCGGGACGTGCTGGGCCACGCGCTGCACACGCACGGCGAGAGGCGCCACCCCGGGTCGATTGAGTACAATTTCGGAGCCAAAATCGTGGGGGTGGACTTCGAGGGCAGGGTGGCGAGGTTCGAGACGGAGTGCGGGGTGGAGGAGAGGGGCTATGATCTGCTGGTGGGCGCGGACGGCTGCTGGAGCCGCGTGCGGCGCGAGATGGAAGCGGCCGGGTTCCTGACGTGCAGGCAGGAGCGGCAAGGCGGCAGCAACCGCGTGTTCGAGGTGGACGACCTGCCGGGCGCGAGGGAGGACTGGGCCCGCTGCACGCACCTCTGGATTCAAAATCTGCCGCAGATGGGCATGATGGCCCAGCCCACGCCCCGGGGCCGCCTGAGGCTGATCGTCGGCACGGTGCGCGACCATCTGTTCGCCGATCCGGGGGATGATGACGCCGATCGATTCGCTGCGGTGGAGGCGGGTATGCGGGCGTCCTTCCCGGACCTGTTCGACGGGAGGGATCTGCCTCCGGGGCTTGCGGCCCGCCTGGCCGGGCAGGAGCCGATCCACCGCGGCGTCAGCACGGCCTGCAGCGCCTTCCACGGCGGGGACGCCGCGGTGCTGGTGGGCGACGCGGCGCACTCCATGTGGCCCAACGCCGGGGAGGGTTGCAACGCCGCTTTGGAGGGTGCGGCCGAGCTGGCGGGCGCCATCGAGGCACACGGGGGGGATCTGGCCGCCGCGCTGCCCGCCTACAGCGCGGCCTGGAAGCCGCAGGCGGAGGCCGCCATCGCGATGAGCGGGCGCAACCCGATGAGGCCGCTGCAGGTGGGACCCTGGGGCCCGGCGGGTGCCCTTTTTGCTGATGATCGCGGTCTTTTGCTGGTGTTCGCCGGGTGGCGTGCCATTTCCGGGAGTGCGTTGGGAAGAAATTGGACCCCTCCCGGAAAGGTTACTATTTTTTTTTGCGACAGTGGATTGTTCCTTTTTGCGACAGTGCCCGGGACTGTTGTTTTTGCGACAGTGGCCCAGTTGTTCTTTTTTGCGTCAGTGGCCATGACTAACGTGTGACCTGCTTCGCCGCCCCATGGGGCACGCCGACGACTGAAACGGGGGCCGGCCGGGCAGCAACAAGTCCGCCGGGACGTGTTTTATAGCCACCTTTCAGGTTGCTGGCAAGACAGAGAACCCCGCCACTGAACGCCATCGAAGAGAGGGGGGGCCGATGGGGGGGGGAGCCAGGGAGGCTGGGAAGGCAAACCTCCGCTGTGGTCTGGCCTGTCTGCGATGTTGAAGAAGTTGGGTGCGCCAAGGTCCAAGGAGGAAGCGGGCCCGGGGGGACAAGCTGCGGAGAGCGGGCGTCGATGCGTAACTGGCCATCGTTGGTGGTGCGAGCATTGAGGGGGTTTGGCTGCCGGACATACCCCGCCCGTCCTCCGTTCGTCCCCCCTTTTCCGATTGCGGTTCACACCCTGGGTGCTGTCGCGGCGGTGCCTGGGAGGTTTCGCCCCCGCTGCAGGGGCCGCGCGCCGCCTTTGGTCGCCGGTCAAAAAGCGCCCGCGGTTGGGGAAGATCGCGGGCCAATCGTCCCGAGTGGATGGCAGGGCCTCGCGTTGGGGGAGCAGGGAGGGTGTCGGTGGAATGCGGGCCGTCGCGGCCGCCAGGCTGTGCCATGCCGCCGCTGCAATGCGCGATTCGGTGCCACCGAATCGGTGGACGCTAAGTCGCTACGCGCCCCAGCTGCGGCACTCGAAATGCAACTGGGGCTGTGGACTGTGCGTGGACCCCGTCGTCAGCCTCCCCGTGCCTGACGCGGGCTGCCGACAGGGAAAGGGGTCCCAGTCCAGTGGACCGGGTTGCCCAGCGCTGAGGTTAGGGTTGGCCGGGTCGGCTGGTTCCTGGCGTGTGGCTACCAAAGCCACACTTTAGTCACGGCCAATGTCGCAAAAAAGAACAACTGGGCCACTGTCGCAAAAACAAACAGTCCCGGACACTGTCGCAAAAAGGAACAATCCACTGTCGCAAAAAAGAGTAGTTAGGCACTGTCACAAAAAAGAACAGTCCACTGTCACAAAAAGAAATATTCACCTCCCGGAAAAGGATGAATCTTGCCCTTCAAAGGATTAATGTTGGCCCCAGTCCTTAAAATGTAGGTGCCAGGCATCGGTCCCCATTTCCCAATTTTGAATTACCTTGAGAGGCGGTTAATACACAAGTGTCCCATACCACTCGTGTTTTCACCATCTTGTACAATCTGCTAGGGTTCCCATAGCTATTCAGTTTGCTACTGAGTCGCCAGGATGCACCTTCAAATGGTCCCGCTTTTCTCATGCCCCAAATTTGTATATCTCATCGCTATCCTTGTGTGGCCCATTTGGGTAATTTGTATGCCTGCTGCCTTCCTTCCATGGGCTTGGGTCAGTATCATTTTCAAGACCTCCCAAAAGACTACATTCGCATATTTGAAGCCAAAAGATATTCCCGCGGAAAAAGGTTTGTGCACTCACGAACTTTTTTCTGCCGTGAACATTTTTCGCCCACAAAAATTTCTGCCGCGTGAATGTTTGGAGTGTGTGGAACATTACAGAACCGGGCTCCTGCCGCCCTTGACTTTCGCCAGGGGTGGCGCCATTTCCTATTGTGCCGCGCCACCCCCTGGCCGCCATCCTAACCCTCCGGCTGCTGTAGGCGAACAGCACGAGTGGCCTATGACGAAACAACGGCCAACCCCATGATGTTGCATTGATTGTGTCCCTTGGGGCGCCATATGCGGTCGCGCCCCATACCTGCGACCTGGCGCCGCTGCAATGGGAAGCCTTCATTCCAATGCATGGCAACATGCCGGCAGGCCCCTAATACATGGGCTCCCCGAATGCCATAAACGAGTGCGCCCCCATTCATGTGAGTTTTCTACAAGTGAGCACATAAACACCAGCACCGACACACCCCGTCACACCCCGCTTGTGCCTCCCAATCCCTCCCATCTGCTTGATGATTTTGATCATGTCCATTGCCGGGGAAACACAAGATATTCTCATGCCTTGGTGGTTCCCATTAATGTTGGGCAGTACTCACTGATCCAACAGTGCTTTCGCGACCTCGTGTTTTTTTCATGACCCTAACGGGTCCGTTGCCATTGCAGCCCAGATGATCTTTGGAGCTAGTACTTCCGTCAGTGTCACGCCGATCTCTGCTATTCCAAAAGTGCATTTGGCGAGCATGCCACCCCCGGATTGGGCCTTCAAACCCATGACCCAAACTCACTTTCAGCATCCACTGCTTTGTACCCTGGGGATAGCCCATGCCATCCTCAGATGTTGGTGCCTCCCGTTTGAGTCTCAGGTTGTCCACAAGTGCTTTTGCGGCCAGGAGTCCCGAACTGGCGATTTCCAAAGCACCCAAAAATAATCCCACGTGCTCGTGCCTCTTATCGTGGTACCTTCTTGCTAGCAAGATTCGGCTGACCGATGGTCACTGGCGCGAGGGATCTGCTAGCCAGCTCAGGACTCCTTTGAGGCAGTCGCTGCTCATCAAAAGACCGCCGCATGGGGCAGTCGTCATTGTGCAAGGCCAACGGGCCAAGGCACGGGAAGCATCCAACCCATTTGGGAGGAGGCCGAAAAGTTCGCAGGCGAAAAAGATGCACAGGGGCAAAATGTTCGTGCTGAAAAAGTTCACACAGTTGCTCGAGTGCGAAATGCATGAACTTTTTTCCCATGCGAACCTTTTTACTCATACAGTACTTGTCAGACACGTCCTACCCAAGATTAAGGTGTTTATTGCACCAAGGCGGACACAAGGTTCACTCTTGGCATATGCCAGACAATAGCTTGCCAGCATTCTTTCTCGTGTTGGAAATCCATATGTAGAACACCAGTCTTTTACGCCCTGCATATCACAATTCCTTCACCGCACCCATCAGCATAGAAACTGCCCTTTTGCATGACTCATGTGCAAGCCACTTCCTTTTGGATTTTTTGGCCCCACCATGAATCCTAAACCCAGCGGTGGTTGCCCCTACTATTGCTCTGCCAAATTATGCAACATTTTGCAAGAACAACCCTGCAACATTGAGACATAATTTTGCTTGCTTGGCTACGTGTTGATGATATTGGCGTCAAGGTTTTTGGAACCATAATTGGGAGGTCGCTGGCATGTTTGCCTGTGCATGCTTGTCATGACGAAGAAAGGGGGAATCTGCATCAGACCAAAAGTTGCATATACTTAATTTCCGCCGGGCCGGGCTCCTTGTCCCGCCCAGGTCCACACACACACTGGACCAATACATTACAAAGACATTGTTTCTCCCAATACCACCCGAGGTACCCACAACTTGTGTGCCCAATCGCTTCGCTAGTAGTTAAGTCAGTCCCATACCAGACTCAACCCTTGAGTCAGACCCACCACACCTCATTCCCTCGTGCTTAACTCCCACACTTGCCTCAAATCAACCGAACATCACCCTAATAGGGGGGGCCGGGCGGGAAGCGAAACAAGATAAGGTGGGGACCGAGGGGTGAGCCTAAGTAGCCTCCCCGCTCGCGCCTGCCAAAGCCCGCCGCTTCCAAGGGCGCCAAAAACCACTGGCTCTCCTTGAACGCGCCGAACTGGCCACTGACCCAAGGTACAGGGGGACAGAAACCCCAAGGGGCCGTCAAAAACGGTGTACTGAAGCAGCGCTGGCCTGACTGGGCCAGCGCACCCGCCCCTCGTCACCCTGGGCGGAAACCCCTTAACAAGATAGTTAATCCCATATACAGCCAGGATTTGCACCAGGGTATTGGACTATACCAACTTGACATAGTGGCCATTGTTAGCACTGTTTCGATTGGCACGTGCCGATTTTGGCATGGCAATGCATTGAACAAGCAAACAATCTGTTCTATTTGTTGAAATGAAACTTACCAACTAATTGACACAAAAATGACTAGTGGACCCCTTGCAATGCCATTGATGAAAGGCTTTCCACTGATTCAACTGTTGTCTTTTTATTGCGAGTGATAAACCACATCTCATACATGCTATCCGCCGTGGATTGTTTCATTCTAGGCTGTCCTTTTGGCAGCAGTTTCTCTGTGTGCAGGTATTCACTCATTTCTTCCACTGCAGATTGCAAGGACCATAGCCCTGGGCGCGTTCCACAAACTGTTGCCATTCCTGTTCGAGCTGCCATCGATCGACCGGCTGGGGTTTGGCGAATGGTCATACTCTGCCATCGAGGACTTGTATCAGAGGGAGAACAAGGCACTCATGGTGCTGCTTGCAGTGCTGGCGGGTTGTGCTGCGTTTGCAGTGCACAGCACCGTCCAGTGAGGCAGTAATGAGGTTTTGCCTGTGTGCCAGCAGCTTCCTATAAGGACAGTAGAACTAGGATTAGCAGGGGACTCTGAAATATATGCCAGGTACGTTTGATTCAGAGATGAGCACATCCCTTGCTGTTAGCACCGTTTCCTTCTTTTTTTCTTTATTGACTGACCAATGGTTTCACTATTATTGGCGGACAGCAGTTGTGAGTACTGCAATTTTGCAAATTTCGCAACCCAGAAATAAGCGCTGTTGGCTTTTCTGCCAAACCAAAACTCTGCAGATTTGGAAATGTACATCGTGGGCCCAGGTGTCTAGCCGGAGGCTGTTGCCAGGCTCAAGTTGAACGTAACATTAATTACATTGCATTTAACAATGTCAGCGACCCAAAATCACAAACATACAGCAAGATGTGGACAGGAGGGCGACAGAATGAACGCGTTTTGTACGCCCTACATCTCGTGCATGGCGTCCCCAGCATTCGCTACTTGTGCCGGGAGCCATGGGTGGTGGAGCGCCCTTGCCAGGCTCCAAGACCCAAGGTCACCTAGCCCCTGCTGCGGCACATTGCAGCGCCAGCCCTGAAGCAGTGCAACTGATTCATTCCCGTGGAACCAATGAATTGTGTGGAAAATGGGTACCGTGAAATGTTCAACCCTTCAGCATGGAAACGTAGCACTTGGCCTTTTTGCGAAGCAAATTCAATGGAACTTCTCTGGAGCAACAGTAAAAAGTAAACAACGCTCTGAAAGGAAAAATGCGGAGCAAAAAGCATAACGGTATACCTTTTTGATGCGGAAGGGTTGAATATACCACGGTAATTTGGGTTTGAATTGAGGCCACGGTCAAAGAGGGGTCGCCTCAAACAACATACTTGCGACTTGCTTGGGTTCTGCGCAACCAAGTTACAATCTGTCCGTCCGTCAGTTGCCCTTGTCTGCGGACCTGCCCGTGCACCAACATAGTGTCTGATCCGAGGGCGATGCATCAAGGGAATATCTGATCCACCGAAACGGCCCCGGCACCTCAAACGAGTTGGACTCAGCGCAGGGCATGGACATCAGCACCAGCCGAACGCTAATGATTCCGTGTGTTCACCATTGATGCAAGTTTCCAACACCTCTTTTCCTGCCATCTCCATACCCAGCGCAACCCAGACCCAGAGCTCCCGGTTACCCACCATGTTGCCCACAGCACTGACGCAACCGCCGCGAGCACGGGTCAGTGGCAATTTGGCCAAATATCGAAAAAATATCGTACGGTAGCCCATCAGAAGCGCAGAAAGGGCTGCCAACTCACCTCGTCGTGGGGTTGGCTGAAGCAAAATGCAAAAATAATGATGAGACGATGCGGTGTGAACTTCCCTCCGGTGCCCCCTAACGCTGTTCTGAGCGCGTCTGAAGACTCGAGACGCCCTTCATGCCCCGCACCACCTTCTACCCCCCATTCTCAGCAGCGCGCCGGGCTGCGCCAGAGCGCGCCATGGCGACTGTCGAGGCCAGCCGCGCGCCGCCCCGTGCCGCCCGCGCGCGACCCAACGCGGACAGCTCGCGGACGCGCATCTTCGTGGTGGACACCCACGCCAGGGGCGCCGACCCCGCGGTGCCATGCGGCGTGGTGGCCCTGGACAACGCCCTGATCGGCCCCGAGTCCCAGACGCTGGTGGACGCCGACCCGGCGATTGGCACGACCAAGGTGTGCGTGATCGGGCCGAGGACAGAGCCGGCGCTCCAAACGCTGTCCATGACTCGATTCGAAGACGGCAGCGGGAGCCACACGTTTCATTTCATGGACGCGCGGGGGGTACAGATGCAGGTGTGCCTGCTGGTGTCCGCCAAGGGGGGGAGGGGAGGGCGCGAGGCGGGCAAGGCGGCGGGGGGGCTGCGGCTCGAGCCCGTGGCGGTGCAAGCGGCGGCGGAGGATTCGATTGACGTGGATGCATTTGGGTGGAAAGAACCGCCGAAGAAATCGCCGAAGACATCACTCCAAGAGGCCCCGGAGAGGACCCCGGAAGGGTCCCAGAAACAAGAGGGGGAACGCGCCGGCGGGGAAGGGATGGAGGTTGATGATGACGCGGCGGGTGTGGGCGTGAGGGTTGAAGGGGGGGAGGTGGGGGAGGTGGAGGTTGATGAGGTTGATGTGGAGGGGGTGGGCGTGCCCGGGCTGGAGGACGTGGTGCCTGGCGAACTCGCCTTCGTGGGGGATCCCAAGGACTTGGTGGAGGTAGAGGTGAGGATGGAGGAGGAGGAGGGGAGCGGGGGGGACGTAGAGGGGGGCGCAGGCGCGGCCCGGGAGGGGCCGGGGGCTGTCGGGGACGAGGTGGTAGGATTGCAATTCGAGGGGATTGATTTTTCGCGCATTGCGAATCGGAGTCCCTGTGGCAAGGGAGGGGGGGAGGGTACGGGTGGGGCGCAGGCAGGGAGTCCAAGCCGCGGCTCTGCAGGGGCTCAGATTGGGGAGGCCAGTGGTGGAGGGAGCCCGGCAGGAAGTCCAGGCAGAGTTTCCCCAGCGGGACAGATTGAGGAGGGTGGCAGTGGAGGGAGCCCGGCAGCAACTCAAAGCCGCGTTTCCCCTGAGGGCCCTGGGGATGTCGATAGTAGTGGGCACATGGTGGCAGATGAGGTCAGGAGCCCCTCGGGTGCCGAAATGGATATGGATGTTGTGCAGGAGGGTGATGATGGATTCGGGAGTGGTGGGCGCAATGCAGGGGTGGTTGCGCCGACGGAGGGAGATGAAGAGGAGGCAGTGGCACTGACAGAAGGAGATGAAGGGGTGGCAGTCGCAAATATAGATGGCAATGATGGGCTGGCAGGTGAGCCAAGTGCCCCTGACGAAAACGGGTACACAGTGGCACAAGACGGGCCGGTGGTGCCATCTTCCATGGATGAAATGATCGGCACTGATATGGACGTTGAGTTGGCCCCTGTTTCCGTGGCCGAAATGGAAAATGTTCTGCCAGAGGAATATCCCCCTGCAATCGAGCCGACTGGAAATCAGAGTACAGACCTGGGGGCAGGGTTCCAGGCGATGCCAAGTGTGTGGCCAGCTCCAGTCCTGACCGGCAGCGTGCCTGCCAGGATGCTGGGTCAGTGGCCCAGACCTCTGGACCTGCCTCCGCCTGAAGGCAGCCAGAGCACAGGGGCAGATGGCGACTCTGTGGGATATGAACCTGATGGCGCCTCGGAGTTGCATGAAGAAGAGACCTACAATCAGGCAGCGACCCCGCCACCGGCGGCCAGCACAGGGGTGTTGCCCGTTCTCGATGAGTCGTTGATGCGGCTGGAGAGCAAGCTGGCATCGACGGAGTCGCTTGTTCCAGCAGCGGACTTGAGCACAGCTGCTCCAGAGCCAGTGGCTGAGCCTCCTGGCATCCCAAGGATGGGGTCTGGGGGTCCGGGCTTGGGGCTCACCTTGGTCGGTGTCGGCAGCACAGGGGCAGGGCCAGGCACACAAGCTCCAGCCACACCAGTTGTCAACTTGGCAGGGTTTGGTGCTGCGGGACTGGATATCAAAGGGATGGGGATGGCCGGGCAGCATGTTGCGGGGCTGGGCACTGTTGTGCTTGGAAGGCCCCGGGGGGCACCATCCAGCGGCGAGGCAGTTGCTGGGGCCTTTGGCAGCACCTTTGATGCAGACAGTGGCTCTCGGCCGTCAAGGGCGTCCGAGAAGTCTGAGAGGGGGCCGCAAAGGCGCACAGGAATCGGGAGCCAGACAGGCCCCACGAAGAAGAATTTGGGGGCGTTCTCCCCACTGCAACAGAAAGCCCGGGCCAATGCTCGGCGGCCACGGACGGGGCGAGGGGCGGCTCGGTACACTCCCAACTTCCAACCGATCATCTCCACACGGGCCGCCGCACGGAGGAGCAACTTGAAGGCTCAGGCGGCCCAGCCCGCCTCCATGGGTGGTGGTGATCTGGTCCCCGTGCCAGTGGCACAGGCCACCGACGAGGTCGTCGAAGAGGAAGCTGCGGCTGCCGCCGCATCCACCGTCAGCACAGGGTTCGAGTCGTTCCAGTGCGATTCCACGTTTGTGTGCATCCCCAGGGAGGGTGGCGACCCTGGGGCAAACTCGCTGTATCTGTCGACGCCGTTCTGGCAGAGCCGCACCTCCACCGTGGTGACGATGGTGGGCGAGAAGATACACGAGTCGGCCACAGTTTGCCTTGTCCGGGGCCCGCAGTCGGGTGAAGGGGACGAGCCGGAGATCCCCTGAATTGGAGCAGGGCATGTGTGCCACTGTTCGCGTTGCTGAAACGCTGAGCTGGTGGCAAGTGTGCCTAAAACGTTATTGCCCTTAGCCAGGGCCCGCCCCATTGCGCTGGTTGCTGTCCGCTTGTTTGGGTCGGTTCCACCGCAGTTTGTTGGAGAGGCAACTGGGCAGTCCATGCCCGTCGTCATCACGAAATAGGTGCAGCATTAGCATTTGATTGGTGGTCGAAAGCCGCACCACTAGGAACCAAACTATAGGTTTAGAAGGATACATAGTATGGTGGCCAGATGGGTGCAGAGACAGAATGTTTGGCGTCTGGACTACAGCTGGCAGCACGGCCGAGCGAGCTGGCTGTTGCTGATCGCCAGTTAACTACTGTGGACTGCGCACGAGTCGACGCTGTTCATGGCGTCAAGCACGCATCGGCTCCTGGGTTGATGTAAACTACATGTTTGCACATCTTCTGCACATTTTCGAGCAGCTGTGTCCGGCATATACATTGGGGGAAGGCGAGGGACATTGGGCTGCGAAAGCCCACGCTGCCACGGGCTCGACCCCGACACACAGCAGCGACCACTCCCGTAAACCCTGGCGAACAGAGGGGCGTGTGCCCGCCCCGTCGGCGTCGATCTCCAGCGTCCAGCGGCTTCTCCGCACCCCTCTGTGGCATCTGTTGCTCTTTTCTCCTCTAGAGAAACATGTGCCCAAAGGCCAATGAAACACAACAAAAACACGGGGAAGTGAAGAGAACAGACAGGCGGAGCAATGCAAACACTCTCCCGCGCAGTCAAGATCGTGGCGGTTTGTCCAATTCCCGTCCTTTCCATATGTCCCGGTTCATAATGGTCACAGAGGGCACGATTGCCCTAAAGACCTTGAAACCTAGAAATAAATAACCGAATGTTGAATGGCCATCACGTGTGACTGCCAAATATGGCTGGTAAGTCACAGCCATGTGTGTGCTTGGATCAAAGCACGTGCCCAACCCACATCCCAATGCAAAGGGATCCTAGTGACACACAACAATCGATTGCTAATCCAGCTACAAAAGCACAGATCAACTGGAAATAACAACGATTGCTGACTGGGCCAGCGACCACACCCGTCACAGGTTGTGACGTGATGGGTACGGCGCTCCTTTCTTGCCCAATCTGACCGCGCCGTACACGCTCAGAACTCCAAGGAAACTCAAGTGGCTCTTTACTCGGGCGATTTCCTGACCCAAATTGGCCAGATCCAATGATTCTCCGCCCATTAACGAACATAGGACACACCAAACCAATCTACACATTCTTTGAATAAGATTTGCAACTCTCGCAGCCAATACAGGACCGTAGGCGAATAGATTGACACAGATCAACGTCAGCAGGGCACTGCCAACTGCTTTTCAAACCTGGACCAGTGGGTAGGTATTTGCAAACACAGTTATCCAGTCCCTATTATGATTTCCAGGACTATGGACACTGGCGACATCAGCACATCATCAGCATGCACTTTGACATCCAGTTTCTTGCTCATTCTGTGTGCACCTTACGCAACTCAGTTATCAACAACTTTTTGCAGACAGCTCTTTCCAGCTCTTTCGCAGCTGCCGAGTCTGATTCCAGGTCAGTGACTGCCTCTGAGCTTCCTGTGTGCCTTTATGCAGGTCAGCCTTCACAGGAGCTGGGGACACTCTGATGACATGCTTGCCGTACCCCCTCTCTCGCCGTCTGCATCCGCCTCAATTTCGGCGCCAGAGGCTGGCCCTCCGACGCCCACACCGTCTGTGCCATCCGCATCAGAGGCTTGGCCGCCGTCGCCAACGCCACCCCTGTTTCCGCCGCCGACCTACCCTTCACAGAAGCTCGAAGCTCTCTTTGGCGGTCGGTGGAGAGGCCATTGGCTCGCGGGATCCAAACTGGACCCCCTCTCCAGCCCCTCCGAGCATCCCGTCCGGAACCGCGACGTTCAACAGGTTCTTCGTGGTTCTTCGAACGGGTATGCACCTCCAACGGGGTTTGGATTTTGCTTGCGCGCTGTGCGCAAGCCTTTCGGGCCGTGGGGGTCTCAAGCAGGGCTGTTTCGGGTGCAAGGCCCGTTTCCTGCGGCTCTGTACGGCTGACTCGGCTGTCAGCGCATGTGACACATCAAAAGAGGCCCAGTCCTATTGGGCAACAGACAGGGCTGCCTCCGCACTCATGGCAGTATCAAATAGCGTACGTGGGAGGACAAAGCAGCGTAAGGCGGTCGACTTTCATCACAGTGCAACATCCACATATGGATGTCAGTCAAACTGTGTCATTAATATGCAAGTGAAACCTAATACATAAAGTTCACCCTTGCCCCCCGTCAATCCAGGGGAGGGTTGTGACAGGCTGTTATCATGCTTCAGTTGTATTCAGGGGGCTTCTTTCAGGTGTCTCAAGGCTGCAAGTCAGCCCGACCGTCTGGCAGCATCCGTACTGCCCTGTGGGTCATGCCTTATCATTAGAATGAGCCTCAGACAGCAGCAGCTCTTCCCGTGCACCATGCCCTGGCTCCCTGCGTCGCCTCAATCGCTGTTACCACTCAATTTAATGCACTGGCGGGTGCACAATTGCCAGGCCATCTTGGTGCATTTTTCCAGCGTTCCCGGCTCATTATTTGGAGCCGCCTTCACAGCTGTCACCTTCTTAGTGAAATACTGTAATGCTCAACCAGTTCTTCACCACCGTATAGCCTTGTTCTTTTACATCCCTTTGTTCATTGTCGCAATGTTCCCGTCTGTTTTCTTTAGCCTTTAATCACTGCCATGAACTGTCAGCGTTCCTTTTGAAAATACCTTTTTCCCTTCCTTCTTATCAGCGAATATCACAGCAGCAAACCTTTGAGTTGCGTGGCCGTATGACTTCATGTTCAGCAGTCACATCAGGCTCATATTAGGGTGACTGTACTCAGCAGCTTACACCAGGACCTATATCTTCATCACGCCCTTTCGCTTTCAATCGTGTCCAGCTGCAGACCTTCAAACTGAACTGTGCATAAACTCCAATAGCACTGCCTTATGTTCTTCCTTTTCATCTTCAGACATTGTTCACACTTTAGTTGCTACCTCTTTAGCCCTTGTGCTCACCTTGCATATTAATGAACTTGAATTCTTTTCACGCAGTTGCTTGTGATTTATGGCAGTCCTTCTATGCATGCTCTTCTTATCCAGTTCTTGCCCATGTGTCCCGTCGACATCCCTGGGTGAACGTTTCAAGGAGGTCTATTCATGCATGCAGCTGATTGTCCTTTCCTGGTTAGATTCCTATGTAGATTACAGTTACAAAGTCGAACATCCAAACAGCCATCAAATGCAAGCCATCGGATCTGTTTTGAACTGGAAACATTCGTGTCCATCAAATCCAGGCTTCTGGTGCGGTCCTTTCATGGAACAAATCACATCACCCTCTCGAAGATTTAAGCGGTCGTGTTATGAACAGTCGAGCCCCAGTCAGATATTATTAATGCTCTCCAGCATGTCCAGAGCTGGGCGGCCACTGAAGGATGGTGGTTTGCCTCATCGTTTCCTTGGTCTTTCTCTTACAGCCATTGCCCAGGCAGCATGTTAGGCACCATAAACCGTAAAGGCATAGCGACCATCTGATGTTTCCTTAATATGCCGCTTATGTAGCAGTTCTCCCTCGTTCTTTTTATGCAACGTATATTTCTTCTTTTCTTCACTTTCTTCTCTCCTCTTTCACTTTCACCCTGACTGGTTGTCTGATAGTGGCCCAGTCAGCTGCTCTATGTCGGTCATGAGCCCACCTTCGATGTACCGGTGCTCATGGCCAACGGAAATTTCAACATGAAAAGCCCAAAAATGACCTTCGTATGTGAAAACGCCCATCATGTCTCATCATTGCCTGCTAGGTGCAGGTGCTGTGTTTTGTCATTTGTGACAAATGTAAACTATGGGTTCTGATGAAGATGAAATGTGGAAACAACAGGTATCAGCCATGGATGACATCGTGGGGTTGAAAATGGCTGGTTGCCGCTCTGGGAGGCATGCTAGGCGGTCACCATTTTTTTCTGCGACCGTGAAATTGTTCTTTTTGGCGATAATTGATGCCTGAGATATTGGCATCAGATTTGGCACACAAAACCAGCGCGATCCGCGGGACCTTCTCTCACAACGGCGCCAAAGGTGCGTCTGTTCGGAGAAGGGACCGAATGACGAAACGTGAGCGTTTGGGGGCACCCAGGGTCCCCATATTGCGGAAGGGGGCTTGCCGCTGCCATTCGCCCCTCACTTTGGCATGGAGATTCAGCCGAATTGGCTGAGGCTGGGGACCCCCATCTCCTCCCAACCTCTATTTTTGCACTGCTGGCCCGCTGAAATGCGCGCAAATGGCCACGCGAGGAGACGGCGCCACCAACTGGGACCGGGGGTGTTGCTCATGACGCCGGACGCGAAGGTCAAGGCGCTGGCTGCCGGCGCCATTACCGTCGAAGCATCGACCATCAAGGCGCCCACACCCAGCGCCGTTGACTGGTCACACCACCAGTTTTAGCTGTCGGCTTGGTGCACGCCCTATAAGCCACGACCTGTGGCGGGCTGCCACTGGCGGCATTTTAGCACTTCGCGCAACTTAGTGGCCAATTGGCGCCGCCCGGCCCTGTGCGTCACCCAAGCCCCAGACAAGCACAGTGTTGGCCCATGAAGTTCGAGGAAGCGGAACAGCGATCCCTCGGGCTGCGAACAAAAGCGGGTGGCGGGTAGGCGTGTCGGTTCAAAGGCCCCGCCACCTTCCCAAGCTGTGCATTAGTCATGTGCACTGCCGCAAAAGATAACAATCTACAGTCGCAAAAAAGAGTAGTTTGGCACCGTCGCAAAAAAGAACAGTCCACTGTCGCAAAAAGAAATATTCACCCTGCTAGGTGTCCATCCGGCCTCAATTGATGTTCCCCGAGCCCCAATTATTCCTCCCAAGGGGCCTAAATGGCCCGACGGGCGCAAGGGGATATGCCCCCCACAAACGCCCCGCACCCTTCGCGCCCGCAGCCCCGCGACCTCGTCGCAGCGCCGCCCGCCGCCCCAGCCCGCACAGCCCCGCAGCCGCAGGCGCGCCCGCGAGGATCCGCGAGATGCTGTCGGCGCAGATGTTCGCGCCCCTGGCGCCGGCCGCGGCGGGGGCACCCCGCAGGGCGGGCGGCTGGCCGGGCCCGCAGGCCGTCCGAGCGGCAGCGCGCCAGGTGAGTTGAGCATCGAGCGCCTTGCCGTTGCGAATGCGCGATTTCGACTTCATCGCAGCGTCGGACCATTCCTGGATGGCCCGTGATAGATCTCTGGAGGGGGGTTGGAGGGGGGAGGGGTGCGACCCGCCACTGGGCGCTGATCAACGCCCCGAGGGTGGCCGCTTGGGCGGGGGTGGTGGATTCTGTGGATTTCATTGGCTGGGGGGCGGGTTGAGTTCGGCGAGGGAATGGCGCCGGTCGCAGAGGCCGGAGAGCGGCGGCCGGCTGTGGAGCGGGCGCTCAGTTTTGCCTATCCATCTGTTCCCGTTGCGCAGGCGCCCTCGCATGCCCGCAGGGAGGGCGCGGCGCCGCTCCTGCCCTCGGGGGCCGCCCTGAGGCTGAGGAGGCCGTCGCCGGGCGTGGTGGTGGAGCCCGCCAAGGAGGTGGTGGCCACGCGGGCGGCCGCGCAGGAGCTCGAGGGCCTGGACGGGTGCGTCTGGATCGATTTGTGGATTTGAGCGGCGCCAGCAGCCGATTCTGTACGCCAATTTCTGCGGGGTGGATTGGAAGCGCCCGGACGTGAGACGGGCCATCCGATGATGCGTCGAGCGGCTGATTAAGCTCGCTGGTTGGGTTGCTGCCAGCGTTGTGATCCGCGATCGGCGCCGCTTTGGATCTGACCTCGGGCGTGGTGGGAGGCTCTCGCCGACCCCTGTCGCGGTTGATGGAGTCGAGGGGTCCGCGTCTCAGGTTCCGTTCCTGTGTGCGACAGCGTCGTCTCGAAGGTTGTGGGTCCCAGCCTTGCTCCTGGAATCGTCACGTCGAGCTTCATCTTCATGTGGTGAGTTTTCCCAAAAGAGGCGGGATGGCACGGCCAACGCCGTGTGATCAGCTCCTGGTCTCTGGCAACGTGGCACAGACGCTCAGTCACCTGGCATTGGCCGGCCTTTCTTTAGCATTTTCGGCTTTTTGCCACACTTGGCCTTGCGGCACGGTTGCTGGCACTTGCTTCCCCCTCCACCAACTGTGTATCGATACCTGCTAGTCAGATCTATCTGGGCGACTATTCCTGCCTGCTCTGAAGAGCTTTGCTTTGGCTACCGGATCGAAATGGCAATTGCAGCCATAGAGAGTGTAGTCCACCACTTGTTGCTCTTTTTGGCATCCAAGCCGCCTGTTTGGACGGCAAGGAGCACATTCGGTGCTAGGAACATATTTTGCCTTCAAATTTGGGCTGCTTGGAGGCACATTGTCATAAATGAAAATGATCCACAACAGTACTTCCCCTCCTAAACACAAGGGTTGCTACTCTTCCCTTCCAATGGAATATGCGATGGAATATACGATCAGAATCTAATGGCACTGTGCACTGGTGCTGGTGTACAAGCAGACATTGGTCCCAAGCTCAGTGGGGAAATAAGCGCGTCCTTGCACACACTGCCTTGTGACACAGCAGCCACTGTACATATCTCTGCTGAATTCAAAAACTGAAACAATTTCACAGCACTAACCGCCAACAAGGGCCTTGCAGTGATCACCTTGTATTGTGCCCAGATGTATCCTGGGCTTGTTGTTTCCACAGCTCTGTGGCCATCATAGCTTTTGCTGTATGTAATTGGACACTTGTTTAATTGACTTTCGAAGTAGATTGGGCCCATTACCAAAGGTGTCGACTGGTGCCACAAACGTTTCCACTGTTCATATGACCGAACACTGTGCATGGACCTAAGTCCAACCTTGCCTTCAAGGTGCAAGGGCACTGTTTTGTCATGACCATGTGACCAAAGGTATCAGAGATCTCAGCTTAAGCGATTGCTCTTCCCTGTATAAACAGAATTACCTTTACCTGTCAGCATCAAATGGTTATAATCACTGCTGGTGTGCACATCTCACAGGTATGCATTGAACGTTGTGTTCAATCTGACCAACAAGTCGATCTTCAAGTTCTTCCCATATCCATGGACAGTGTCAACAGTCCATGTGACTGTAGGCGCTATCTATTGCCTGTTCACCTACGCCATTGGCCTGAAGAAGGCTTCCTTTGGACGAGTGAGTTTTTCTCGTTTGTGAATGCTGCCTGTTATCTTGCTTGCTGGAGCACTGTTTCCTGTCTGTAACAGTGTTCACTGGACCACTATCCTTGCTTCAGAGGATTTGTTTGTTAGTAAGATTATCTGCAGATTGGGCACTAATTAGCACCATGTCTCCATCCTGAAGACCTCCCCACGTGTGCAGAACTTGGTATTTCATTCCTTGAATTCGGCCAGTATTTCCAACTGATAGCAAGCGAATTGCGGTGGGTAAAATCACACTCTCAAGGCTGCATTTGTCATGCATTGATATGGCCTCTCCCATGCACCATGGCCAACAGCGGGACGGTCCAATTTGCGCCTCAGTATTGTGTCTGCTCAAAAATGATAAGTTAGGTTCTTAAGTTCTTTGGTGAGGGAGAATGGCCCTATGGATTGGGCAACCAGGAAATGAAAAGACAACTGGACATGTGACAATTCTGCCTGGAACTCAGTGTAGAGGCCACGTTCCATTATGTGTGCCATCATGAACACCAGATCAATGTGCTTGAAGCCATCACAGAAGTGATCACTTGTGCAGAATATTCTGTGCAGAATCCTTGGATCTGTTGCCCAGTTTTGTCAACAAGAGACCTGGTTTTCAAGCTGCTTTGACTCTGCCCATTATCCTTTGCAGTCTACAGCTTTGTCTTATTCTAGCAAAGGAATGCAAATTCGAAAAAGCAAGAATTATTCTGTGCAGGCTGTCACCTGGGATGAGTTTAAGAAGATCAGCGGACCAGCAATCATGCATGCCATTGGCCACATCGCGGCAAATGTGTCTTTTGCTGCTGTCGCGATCTCCCTGACACACACAGTGAAGACACTGGAGCCAGCCTTCAACTGCCTCCTGGGGTGGCTCCTGATGGGACAGGCAACACCATTCCCCGTCGTGCTGTCTCTGTTGCCTATCATGGTCAGTGCGCCAGCTGCCTCAAATGTACCAGGTGGCCTTCCTTGTTTCAATGTGCCTGCTTGCCTAGCTGCAGCATGTCACGACTGCTGCAGCCACAGCTGAGCTGTGCAAAGTCATTAATGCTTATGGTGTAGACTCTTTCTTACAGCTTGTAAAGCTTGTGAACTAGCAGAAAGAGAGGTTTCAAGCAGTGCGGGTTCTCCTGACTGCTTTTTTTAACCCTTCTCCAGTCGACGATCAGTTGTGGATCAGTTGTGAGCAGGCTTGGTGCTTTGGCTGCATTTCAAGCTTGTGTTGACAAGAAGCCTGAGTGGGTCCGGTGGTTGCTGTGCAGGCGGGTGTCGCAATGGCGTCTGCAGCTGAGCTGACATTCAATTGGTTGGGCTTTGGCAGCGCCATGTTGTCGAACATCACATTTGCATTCCGGGCTGTGTGGGGAAAAAGGTGCACTGCACGCTACAGATCCTTGCACAGAATTCGATTGCGTTAGTTTCCTGATGAAAATTGATGTATCATGCATTTTATGTGCACTTGTTACAATTGTATGTGCGAGCCGCCTGCAAAGCAACAATAATGAACCTACTTGGCAGTGAGCATTTTGGAAGGATGAAACCTTGTAGCTCAGATGACATGCAGCATGTAGTTTGCATGCCTTAGGAAGGTGAAGTTTGATTTGTCAGATGCTCCATTACTGTGCTATAGGCAGCTGTGAATGTACTGGATTCCATTGCCTCATTGTAGCAAAGCAAACTGCTATTGCACCTTGCAGGCAACCTGCTTTTTGCCTTCTGCTGTTTGTGGTTGTGCAGTGCCTCGTTTGCTACCAATCCAAGGGGAGGATTGGATTGAGAGTAGATCAGACCGCAGAAAAGGTTGCCTTGCTGGAATATGGTGATATGCAAATTTTGGGCATCCTACTGTCCAGGCACGACGTGTCGGCCCTCTTATGGTGGCTCAGGCATGTCTCGAGTGGTTCTAGTCAGCACACAACCCTTGTAAAACAATTTCGCAGGCTGTGGCGTAGCCATTTTCCAATATGCATGGGAACACTAGATTGTGTACTTCCAGATGCAGAAACGTCATTACATCGGGGATTGTGGGAGTATTTTCTTTGACGGCTGACACGACATACTGATAATGGTAATTGTATAGGTAGCACCTGCAGAAGACCACCTGTGAAGCATCAGGTGTCCAATTCGAGTGTGGTGTTCTGCGGCTGCAGTGGTCTCCATAAGAATCGGTGGCCCGCCTCTCCAGTTGGAATTTGGACTGAACTCAGTGTTCGCTTCTGATCGTGCCTTTGGACTTGTCCTTGCAGCGCCATCAAGTCCATCCCCAACCTTGAGAGCACGGCAGTGTATGCCTACACCACTCTCATCTCAGTGTTCTTTTGCCTGCCTCTTGCACTCATAATCGAGGGCCCTACACTGAAGGCTGGTGCACAGGCGGCCATCGCCAAAGTTGGCGCACAGAACTTCTATACCGCTCTGTTGGCGGTTGGCCTTTTCTACCATCTTTACAACCAGGTGTGCCTCTTTTTGCTGCACTTTTTCTGTCTTCGTGTTTCTCTGCTGTGCTGACGTTGGTTGGCAAGAGATCCCTATATTGCTCGAGAGAACAGACTTTTTCTTGTGCATTCAAATGACAGATTTGATGATGCATTGGTATTATGACGAAATTTGTGAATGTACGTGATGAGAAAGGTAAGGGAGTGCGATGATATGGAAAGAATGGAACAAGAATGAAGTTATGCCCGTTTTGTCTTGCTGCATGCTTTCATTGGCACTGAAATTTCTCAGGTGAAATAGGGAACTCACGACAGGCTTCTCACTCAGGCATGTAGAATTCCCGTTTGTATGAATAATTGATGGAATGGATGTAATTGCCAACAGTGCCTTTCGTTTGCTGTGTCCATCATCCACTGCCCAACCCACAACCTTGTGTTTCAACACTGTGGCCCGTTGTTGGTGCAGTTTGCCTTCAACACGCTGGGCCGGGTGAACCCCGTGTCGCATGGCGTCTGCAACGTCGTCAAGCGCATCGTCATCATCGGCACCTCGGTCGTCTTTTTCGGCAACGTCCTCACCACGCAGACCAAGATCGGCACGGCCATCGCCCTCTTTGGAACGTACCTCTACGTCGAGGCACAGAAGCGGTTCAAGGCACCGCCGGCACCCCAGGTGGAGGGCGCAGCGGCATGAGCGGCAGGCAGTTGTCAGCAGCATTCACTGGGTGGGCTGTGTGGTTGGGAGTAGTGCCGGGCACGAGGATGTCGAAGCTGGCAGAACTAGCAGCAAGGATGGGCACTAACGGCGGGCATCGGTGTCTCACTGGAGCTGGGGCATTGTTCCATTTTTATTGATTGATGCATTGGGCAGGGGGGAGGGGGAGAGAATTGGCGGCGAACTGACGTCCAGGCCCTGAAGGCCCGTTATGTGCCTTGGCGCCAGTTGGGTGCCTTCTTCTATAGATTTCGAATTCGAGAACTCGTGGCATGGAATACTAATGCCTTTTTAGATTATTTTTTACAGGGCGCCTCCGGCAGGTGCGCCGTTGTGGCGTCCATGCCCTGATGTGCGGCGTGCAGAATGGCCACGTCGCATCGTTGTCACACCGCAATGGCACCTGCTCTTGGTAGCCCTGCAATTTGTTGTCTTTTCTTCGTCAGATTGGCTGCTGTGTGCATTGGCAGACCGGCAATACATCGCCAGTCTTCGTACACCTAGTCATTGCTGGGACCTAGTCATTTTCTGTTCTTGGCGCCCTGATTGGAGAGAAGAGAATAGATGGGTTGCCGAAGCACCTTTTTCTTGCTGTGAGGAAGGCTGATTTTTCTTTGCTGTGAGAGCTGAGCGGTGGCTGACGCAGTAGCACTGTGGATGCTAGCCCTGCACTGCTCCACAATAACGTATGTTGCCTATTTGGTTCGCGAGCACCTGCCAATGGGACAAGTTGGTGGGTTAGGAACAATAGGGATGCAACATTGCGAATGTTTGGCGATTGCATTGATTGCATGGAGGTGTGGGTGATTTAATTCAATTGTGAGCTTGATTGTTGGTGGCCGAACGCCAGCAGTCTGCTTTCCCGGCTTGGTTGGACACCCTAGATGGTTAGGTGATGGATGGTGGGCGGTTGGATGTGCCCATAGCCTGCAGGCAGTGACCATGAATGAGAAACTCCCCCTGCCTTGTACCTATTTGTGTTTGTTGAGCCCATTAAAAGGGAGAGCATGCTGCGAGAGGCACAACCTCAAATGGTGAGTTGCCTGTTTGCATCCTCTCTCGAGTTCATTTGTTGCAAAGACAAAGGATTGCCCACCCACTTAGGCACCAGGGCATCTCTGAGTCAAGTAGATCAGAGCATGTCCAATATGCCACAAGTGCTGGCAACCTCCATGCCTGTTTGGCCCCATTCTGTGTACAGTACCTTGTCATCTTTGGAGTGGAGGTGTGCACTGGACTGTACCACAATGGGCCTGGAATATAGTGTGCTCTTGTTTCCTTTGTATGAGATGTGGTGGAGGCCTGCTTGAGAGGGACTCGAACACGTGCCCTCGCCATGTTCACCACTTCTATGTTGCCTACCCCCTTGCTTCGACACCCTGGATGGATGGGGACGCTCTTGTGTGAGATATGTCAACCACAATGTGAAGAATAGAAAACTTCAGGCACTACATGACACTGAAGGGCTCCATCGTTGGATGTTGAATTTGTGTGCGCATTCGTCTACTTGCATCCACAGCCATCGGCCCAGTTTGCCTTTCAAGTTTTGACTTGTCGTTAATGCCAGAAAGAACTTGCCCAGAATGTTCGTTGGCACGATGTTTTGGGCTTGGGTTGCAAAATGATAATGCCAGCGAACAGTGCGTAGATTTCAACAGATTGACCCGGGAACTAATTGAATCCCCCAATGACCCCCCTTGGTGCCATTCGCGTCTTGACACCACATAAACTGCCAATTCCATGCTCTGCGATTAGAATGCCGGATGTGGCAAAATTCCGAAATAAATAGCGTTTGAAAACACTGTCCGACCGTGTCTTGTGCTGGCGAACTAGCTAAACCGGGAACCGAGCTGAGCGGTCGCCTCGCCGCCCAACCGCCCCGATTCCCTTTACTAATATCCCATCTGCTGTTCCTACAACAATTGACTCAAGTATTCCCCACATGCAAACCGCACGCACAGTCTCAATCTGCCAGGGCCTGTGACGGCGACGCCTGGCCACAAAGTCCTTTCGTCCACCACAATCCAATCCTTCTCCACTCTCCCGAACCCCGCCACAAGGAGACGCGCTGGTAGCCACCGCCGCTCAACCCCCATCCATGGATTGACCGAAACACTCCCCACCGCCTCGGCTGCATCTGAATCTTGTCACTCAGCCACAATTTCAATTCCCTCCCCGGCTCGAATGTCCTTTCCAGCAAGCAAACAGCACAATACTCGCGCTCCAAGGCAAGGAGGCGGCCGGCAGTCCCCACACCGACTACCAGCCAACAAAACGCCTCCGTCGAGGCCTCCGCCAGAACGCCGCGGCCCCCGGTCAGAACGCCGGATTCCGATACAGCCTCTTGACCAGGCCGACCAGCCCCATGGACGCCAGGCAGTCCTGCAGCTCCTCGTGCGACATCGCCGCCAGCAACCTCCTCCCCCACGGCGGCAGGTCCCAGGGCGCCGTGCCTGGCAACCCCGCCTTGCCCTCCCGATCCTCGCCCTTGCGTCGCTTGGCGACCCTGAGCCCATCTCCCTTCAGATCCCTCTTCCTGTCTCCCTTCCCCCCCCTCTCCCGCCGGCCCTTGAGGCCAGCGCGCCTCGCACATTGTCTCACTGCCCCAATGGGAGCCCCAGGAGGCCGCGGCGCGGCGTTACGCTGAGGAAGTTCGCGGAGGGCGCGGTGACGCGGCCGTTCGGGCCCCATGTACCCCACTGTGTGCTCACACTCGAGCTTGCCACAGGAGGTCACCGAATCCGACGTCTGGTGGCGCTGGCAAGATGCGCCCCGCCGCCACGGGCGGGGAGGCTTCGAGTCGATCAGATCGCCGCCGAAATCTTCGCCCTTGGGCTGGCGGGGATCGCCGTCGCCGCAGATCAACCGCTGGAAGAGCGGGATGTCGATGGGAGGGGGGCTGGGCTGCCGGCGACTGCAGACTTTGCGGACGTCCACGCGCGGGCTTCGGGGGTGGCTGCCGCGCGCCTGGGCCTGGGGACAGGTGAGAATGGACGTCGTTGCCAGCGGCATAAAGGGCATGGTGGGAGGAAGTGGAAGGGCGGGAGGGGGGTACGCGGGGTGGGCACCTGCATCTGGTTGGGCCCCGCGACCTGGAAGGAGTGCTGGGTGCGTCATTGGGGCGAGCTCCAAAGTGTCTCGTGTGAGTATGTCATGCTGGGGGGAGCAGCGCGAAAGCGTGAGAACACCAAGGGTATCACCACCGGTCTGACAATTGCCCTGCCCCGGTGTAGGGACAACCGTTTTGCACGCAAGTCGTCACACGTATTCCTACCAGTGTTTCCGTTGGACTCCAGTGGAGGCCAGGACACTTGGCGCTGTCACCTGAAACCTCAAAATCTTGCAGAGAACCGTCAAACCCCTAAACAACAGTGCCGTGACAGTGAAAGCAACATACACACACGTCGAATTTAACCTGCCATTGATACCCAGTATTAGCATCCACAGACAGGGACCCCAAACGGAGGAAAACGAGATGGCGGACTCGAATATGGGGTCGCGGAAACTACCATATGGTTTGGACCGTCGATTCAAGGAATGTGTTGAGAAAATTTCAAGAACGAAGTGTAACAACGGGAAAAGTCCTAAAAGCAAAAATCGCACTGCACAAACAGACAAATCTACAAGAACATTTCAAAATCACCAAACTAACAACATTGAAAAATGTGTGGTGCCGTTGATAGCACTAACAACACCACAAAAGGCCCCTCAGCCACTCCTGACAGCATTACGACTGCGATAACCAAACAGCCCTCGCTCCCATCGATCAGAGCAGGTGGAAAGCCATGAGTCGGGCGAACAAACAACAATGAGCTGGCCATCAAGTGCACATCGTGGTTACACCAAAGGGCCAGTGCTTGAATGTGGATTTTAGGCACCGGGTCATGGATACTAACAAGGTTTCTCCCCCCTTAGAGAGTCTGGTGGATACTGATAGGTTGTGGGGGCTGATATGACAGTATGTGACAGTATGTGACAGTATGTGACAGTATGTGACAGTATGGGACAGTATGGGACAGTATGTGACAGTATGGGACAGTATGTGAGCATAGCATTATGCAAGTGTGGCAATGCAGCTTGGCAAGAAAATCAACCATCGTACATTGGCTGGGATCCTGGGTCTCCAACACTTTGTGCTACCTTCACCATGTGCAGTAAAATGTACTCTTCAAGCAAATATCTCACTCCAAGGCACTTCTTCAACACAGCATGCAGCAGATCTTGCCCAGTTCTCTGTAAAAATTCACTGGACCACCGCTGCAGACAGTGCATCGTGACACCTTCCAGGAACTCAATCCGCCGTTTAAGATCTGTTATCTGCCATTTTGGCAGGAGTTTCACCCCCTCTGCTCTATTTTAGCGGACCCTGCATGCTGGTCAAACACTGTGATGGGTGTCTTGACATTGCCCACTTCATCAAAGGGCAGTGATTGGCCTTACTTTGCTGACCGCAAGCGGAAACAAAAAGAACTACTGGTGAGGAACTGCCACAATGCATCATTGCTCCTAAAGGCCTGATTCTTCTTCCTCAAGGTGCAAAACTCATTGCCTGCAACAGCTCCCAAGCTATACTGGATATTCACTGCCATGCGGTGCATTATTGCCACCAGCATTGACAGGTTTGTGCAGCACTGCAATATGAAACCCGTTAAGCACAGAGGTGATGCATCCAGATTGTGATCCCAGTCAACTTGGGGAAGAGGGCGAAGGATAAGGACCAGATGGGAGTCAGGCGTTGGCAACATACAAATCGACGTTGTAACTTTTTGCACCTCTGGACCCCAACCTGCCTTTGGCTATTCGGTGCCAGTGTCGATGTTAATATAATCAGAGGGTGCATTCTCAATACACAGAATCTGTTTGTTCGGAAAGGATGCACCTCTGCAACTAGTGATTGGGCTGGCGTGGGGTTAAGGTTGGTGGTGGGTGCAGCGTTGCGCTTCCGTTCTGCGTGTTCCTTCCACCCTTTGACCCAAATCCAAGTATCAAAATGGACTCGCATCAAACATATAAATTCGAAATCTGGAACAGAATGAAAGAACATGGCCGACGATACTACGGCGGTGAGGCCGTCAATTGCCAAAGAGGCAAATCTTCACCATTCAATGCCTGCCCTGGATGCCGACTAGGGCGCTCGTTATCGCAATCCGATACGCGCCACAAAGATCCGTCGGGCTCCTGCTGCAAAGTCCGCAACCGAAAAGGCTACCCCATGGCCCACTTGCTGCCTGTATGGCCAGGCGTCCATACACCACTCAACATCCCTCCGCCGATCCGCACCGGCCCTGGCCACAATAATTACGCTCACCTGCAACGGTGGGTCGGGGCAGCACCCCGCCATGGCGGGGTCCGCCCCCAATGGGATCGGCGTCCTTGTCTGGATCCGCCAGCGCAAAGTGGCTGGCGCCGCCTTTCGGACGTGCCCTGTTGAAATTCGCAAAAGTGGCTTGGACGCCTGGGAGACGCACGCCGTTCGCGTTTCGGCGGGCACTCGTGCGTCTGGCGAGGCCGCCTGGGGAAAGGGCGGGCGGCGGTGGCGTCAAAAATGGCGGGTGACAGAATGAACAAGAGACCACCGCTGGCACACAGCAACACCAGCGATTCTTCCGAAATCCAAATGACGGAGTGAGGAGCACTTTGTTTTCAACATGGAAAGGATGGCAATAAAGTTTATGTAAGCAATATTATATTAAAGTTCTAATATAAGCTTTATTCCGCTGACCCTTCCAAGACAACCTTCGACATGAAGTCGCTCTCTCGAATTCCTGTGGGACACTTGGGTAAGCTTAGGTGGGCACACCAATCGCTCAGCAGTGCGCGTATGGTATTCCAGAAGCGCAACATGGAGAGCCGCTTGACCATGCAGGTCCTGGCACGCACAGTGTGACGGTAAGTGGATCAAAACGAAATGGAGACAAATTTACCAGGGCTGCCTTCTATTGAAGCCTAGACAGGAGTAAAGGAGACTTCTGGCTGTGGTTGCTGGCCAGGCTCTCAGCAGTCACATTCAGACGAGACTGGCAGCGATGCTCAACTACCACTTCCTATTTCACAACATCCACAATGACACATCCCTGCTTCTGTAACATTTGCAGTTGGTAAGCCAACCCTTTCTTTAACAGCCCAACCTGCATCTCCTGTTGCACCCTCTGCTGCTATCCCCTCCGCCCTTTCCCCAGGCTGTTGCACAACAAGTATGGCATTATTCTCACGCCCATAGGCCCAGTCGCACCCTCACATCCAATCTACACAGCGACCACAAGCGATTCCGCTTTTTCGTTGCATGCCACTCACCAGGCAACTTGTGCTAAATTCCGCCTGGTCAGCAACATCATCACCAAATCAATCCTGGGAAAGGCTGCAGCAATCAATTTGACATTACATTCGGGGCTAACGCAGTGTTCTATTTCTACAGCTCGAACAACTCATAAATCTGCATTAGAGTTCTCAAATCCCTTCGAACTTCAGACATGTATGGCCTCTTTGAGGGCTGTGGCGACACACAACGTTCGATCATTGACCTCATGTCTCGATGGCAGTCACCGGGATGCCTGCTCAGTTAGTTGCCAGGGGCAGCACCTTGGTGGTGATTGGAGCACATATCGCAAGGTGCCACCTGTGCAGCGATCTCCCAAGCAACCATGCCAAAGCAGTAGACGTTGCTCTTGGCAGTACATGGCCTCCCCCTGTGCATTTCGGGGCATCGTGCACAGCCCTCTTTGGCTGTTGCAACTCAATCTCCTGGGCATGGTCCTTGCTGCTCACAGGTTCGAAGCAACAAAGTTTGACACATGGAAGTTTGCTCTTCGCGTCATCCACCACGAAGCTATTGGTTTTTAAGCAACAGTGCAGGAGCGGATTTGGATCGTCGTCGTGCAGGTGGTACAAGGCAGATGAACCTTGCCATAAGACATGAAGCCTCGACTGCCAGGTAGCTCACTACCCAAGGCCTTATACCACCTAGCCAAATCCGCCCGGCCCCATTCCATCATTACTGAGCCAACCCTGGAGAAAGCCAGCACACTTTCAATGTGTGGGTCATGCCTGCAAGTGTGAAGAGCAAGGACTGAGCAAGCTTTGCCAAAATTCGCAAAACCAACAATTTTGCTGCGGGCAGGAGCCTGCCATTTGACAATCACATTTCTTGCTTTCCACTGTGCTTCATACACCCCATCATCGCCGTTCTCACCCACAGATTCTTCATTTTGCAAGGGAATTTCATCATTGCTGACGGGTTGCATTTTATGCAGCAACTCAGCATTGCTGTCTTCAACTTGCTTCCACTCTTTACACGTGTCTTCCAAATGGGGGTCTGATTCCCCCAGAATGTATTGCAGAAAGTTCCCCATGGAGGCTCTGTCTTCATCAACGTCTTCTGTGGTAACTTCATCCTCAATTTCCGTGCTTGAACGCCAGTCAAGTATGGAGACAGAGGTTCAGAAATGTTCACAACATCTCTTGACGAGGCGCTTGGCCTCCCAGATGGGATACATGACCTGATGCATATACCTCTGGGAATGATGCCCAATCAGCTTCACCCCCAACAGCAAACTTGCTTTCAGCGGATCAAGCGCTTCGGATATCCTCCTGTCAGATGTCTGAATTGAGTGTCTTCCACCCTCTTGAATTTTTTGCATCTGCTCAAACAGAAACATCAGCGTTTTCTTGTTGTACAAGACACCATCAGCCTCCATCATCTTCTCAGCCTCTTCGATGATCGAGCAAGAGCAGTTAAAGCACAAATCAAACTGATGCATTTGCTGTCTGTGCGAAGGCCCATTGCTGACATGCGGCGGGTCTGAACTGCTTTCCTAGAAGGTGTCGCCACCTCACGCAACACCCTGCTGTGAGTTTCTCCTGCAGTGCATCGTTTGTCTGTCCACTATTCTTTACAGCCCAGTAACTGATGGCACATTCTATGATTTGCAGTTACAGTACTTCTGCATCTACCTCACCTCTGGCCGTTGCATGATGTAGATCCCTCCTGGTATATGTGTTGCTGGTTCAGTACTTTAGCAACACAAGCAAAGGCAGCAGAACTGACCAGTGCATTGTTGACTTGCACCTCATCGCCAGTAATAGCAGCCAAATGAAGCCCTTGGGCCATGAGGAGAACTCATGGGGATCCTGGATTAATTACCAAAGCCCTTCTTTGCCACTGACAGCCAAGAACTGATCATTACTTACAATGAGGCAGTGTGCAGTTGACAGAGGTGTTTCTGCAACAAAATATACAGTTATGGTTTGCTGAACCTGAATTGGGAACCCAAAGGATGATGCAGTTACCCAAGTGCCCAGTTCCACTGGGTAATGCAGGATGCAAGAAAAATGAAGGGCACAAATATGGCAACAGCAGAGACCATTCCAACTGCAATGTTGCCAAACTGCATGTCGAATTTGATGGAGTCAGTAGGCAAACACTTGTCCTGGAGAAGAGCAGCTCCACAACTGCAACAGTGACTGAACACACCGAAATGAGCATGAAACTTCACACAAGAGAGCCGTTCTCATGGTCTGTGATGCTGATGGCCTTTCGGTGTGATCTTCACACAGAGATCTCAGGATGGGCATATTCGTCTGTTTCCAGACAGATGGTAAAGCAAAACATGCCACAGGTATACAGCCAACGCACAAGCAATGTTCACACAAAAGGACAATCATAATTTCCAGGTTTCCATTCCATACTGCACAGGTACTGTCAACTTGATACTGCGACAATATGCAAGCCTTCCCCACTCACCGCGTGCACCCGGAACTCTGGCATCGCTGACAATGTTGCACAAATCTCTTGGATAGTTGGTCTCCCCTCAGGCTCCTCACCATAACACTGCTTCATCAGATCGTACGTGTCCTCGGGGCAGTCCTTTGGGGCCACGGTGCAGGTTTCAAACCAGTTTCCCCCCGCCTTCCCAGAGTTTTCATCTCCATCAAACAGTGCTCATTCACCTGCTTGCCCTCAACATGGTACGCCTGTTTGCCTGTGACGACCTCATATATAACAATGCCCAATGCGAAGATGTCCAACTGCACCGCGGGGACATCGCCAAGGTAAACTTCAGGGGCAATGTAAACATTTGTTCCCCCTCCCCATCTCGCTGTCATTCTTCCTGTGAAAGTGTCGTCAGACGCAAGCCCAAAATCTGCAAGTTTGACCTGGCAGTCCTCTTGATGGGATCCATATACAAGAAAATTGTTGCCCTTTACATCGCTGTGAATAATCTGCCGGTTGTGAAAGTGCTTCAATGCTGTAGCACATTTCAGAAGAAGGAGGTGCTTTTTCGACCAGCCCATGTCCTCTTCCTGTGGCAAAGTGTGCGTAAGTCGTTGTCAGCTAATTCCATGACGATCCAACCCAACTGGGTGATTGCAAACAGCCTTGGTGCATACAGGGCATCCAGCTCTTAATGTACATAGGCCTCTTTAAGCAATGCAGCCAAGTTGTCAGTGGACTTGTGCTGTCCAGATGATTTTGGCCTTTTAATAGCCACCAGTATATCCCCATACTTGCCTTCGTACACACATTCCTCTCCGCCTTGTCCCCGCTCATGTCCAACTTCAACTGCTGCATCGGGAATCTGCCATTCCATGCTCCACTTTTCATGTTTAATTCTGACATTTTCCCACTTGAGCAGCAGCCCCTGTTTTGCAGTGCTGCATTCCTTGCCTCTTAGAACATATGAAAACATATCACACAAATGATCCCCATCTCTCTCTATCTACAACGTCCGTCGGTACAACCGCATCAATCTGAGACTGGAGAAGTCTGTTTTCCACACATTGTAATAGTGCCCTGCATATGGCTTCGGACGCTCCTCATGGCTCGTCAACAGTATAGCGTTTCTTCAGACTGAAGAGAACTTCATGCTTTTGAACAAAGCGATTTCCCTGACTCAAAGCTGCATTCAAGTACCCAGCGGCTTCACTGGGCAGTCCACCAACGATGTCCTTGGATTTTCTCATTTGCTTTTGAAGAAACGTCACAATTCCAGCATTGTATGCTGGGCTCTCCTACACAAAACAGAGCTAGTTCAATGTCTCAATATGGCGGTCAGTGCACATAAGCCTTTGTGCAGTTTGATTCTCAAAGCTCTTTTGGCTTGAGACTGGCACACATGGCCAATTTAAACGTACAATTTTTCTCTATAGATAATCCCTGCACTTTTCACAAGGGCCTTCCCTATAAATGTGGGGAAACAACGTTCCAACTTGGAGGGAAAGCCCCCAGCAGGAGAACATTTTCCACAAGGGATTCTCTGCATCACCGGAGGCGTCCAGTCATGCCTGGCCCACAAATATTCAGGAACGTCACAGACAGCAAAGCTGTGAACGGTGTGTGCACCAAACCCACAACTGGCCCAGGTTGTGGTGACTGGGAATGGATTTAAGGTTGGTTGAAATAAACTCTGAGAACTGAAACTAAGTGTGAGTCTAGCACATTGATGAGTGCCTACTGATTGTGATTGCAAACCAAGGCGAAAAACAGCCCAGCTGGAGCCGAGCTGGAAGCCCACCAGACCAAGCTCTCACACCAAAAGGGGCAACAGCACATGTAAGCAGTGATTCTAGTCTGAATCAGGACAGAATCAGCAAAGGGCCTACAATAAGAACGAAACAAGTTATGTTGAAAGACATGTAGCATCGTCGTTACCATGCCAGTAGCGCTTTCCCTCATCAACAATGCAAAAACAGCTGTACGGTCGAATTGCGCAGCATGCCAGAGAGGTGTGTGCCCATCCTGTGCATTGCAGGCATGCCATATCAGTATTGAGCATGCGAATTGGAGAGGTTTGACAAATAAAACAATAGCACCATCGCCTTGGAAGCATGTTCCTCTGTTGATTTCTGCAATGACTCAAGTTATACCTCTTGTTCCTGCAGTAGCTCCCTAATGGTACTTGGCAGTGCCTAGAGATTTGGCACCCCAAACTCCTGCAGCTGCTGCAATTCCATCACAAACTCTGGGACATTCATCGCCATGTTCCGCTGAAGGCGTAATATTTTTAGCTCAGGGCACCTATCAGCAAGGCCTTGAGGCAAGCAAGTGACCTTGGAACATCCTTGGACGTCCAGCTCCGCCAAGCTGTGAAGCAGTGTCAATGCGCTTGGAATTCCAAGAGACCATCACATCCGTGCAACAGCAGGGCCTCCAATTGTGCCAACTTCCCAATTGCAGAAGGCAGGGAGGTCAGTTGCCAACAGCTGTCCAAATCCAGTGCACGCAAACTGGTCAACTTTCCCAAACTGGGATGCAAGCACTTGGGCAAAGCATTTTAGGCCAAAGCATCTGCTGAGGTCAAATATTGCCAAACTCCACAAAGCACCCTCTTCTATTGGCAAGAAATCTGCAATTCTACTTTTGGGCATTGCAGAGCTTTGTCAAATTCGACAACCTCCCTATGGACCTAGGTAATTCACCAATGCACCAGGCACGACAAACTATCACAGTCATCCAACCACAACACTTTTGCAGATTGAAGGCATCCCACCTGTGCTGGCAAGCTGACAATTCCCGAAGACGTCAGATCGATGACCACTAGTTTTACAGTCAGCTAGGATGCAGGCAAATTTAACGTCTCTGCATTTCTCAGCACTAGTCCCTTCAGCTCAGGCACATCTGACCTCCATAAATCCAATTGTTGGTCCTGCCCGACGCTGTGTGCTGCTGAGAACTTCGTTGCAGGGAGTCTGTGCCTTTTGAGAGCCAGTTTCTTCAGGTGTGATGACACCAGACGGTAACGTTTCCCAATGGGCAGCCTGCCAATTCGTCGCAATGAGCCCTCCACCACGTTTTGCGTTCCTGGTACGAGGGACCAGGACCTCCCTTGTGCTTACAGCTGTAGCCTCTAGCTGCTGCCCCCATGACTTCCAGCGCAAGAGGGAGGCCCCCGCACCCTTGCACATTGTCCTTCACATACGAAGTTTGCCATCTCAAGGGTTGTCCATCCATAAATGCTTGCTTACAGAAAAGCTCCATCGACTCATCCTCACCCAGTGGAACAACTGCATAGTGTGTTGCCCTCACCCACGTTGCAACTTCATGATTTCGCATTGTGACCAGGAGTCGGGTCTTTGCAGACACAACATCAAATGGGCAATGTCCTTTTCGTCCCACACATCATCCAGAACAATCAACACAGCCTCGTCTTCCAACGCTGCTTGCAAATGTAGTTTTCCACTTTCAGCGCTATTAAATTGCTTGGTGCGTTTGGTGCCCACAAGGGCACCCCATATCTGTTTTTTGCACTGCAGGATGTTGGATCCATCGACACTGTCACAAAAGCCCACTTTCTGAACCCATTTTGAACTGCCGGATCGCCGATGAGCGCTCTTGCAAGTGTGGTCTTTCTATTCCTTTCACTCCCCAAATAACCACACGACTTGCATCAGTACTCAACAGCATGTTGCTGATCACACACAATTGCCCTTCCAGGGCAGCCGCACCCGGTGCAATGGGATTGTGGGCAGGGGAGTGAAGGCTCTTGGATGGAGCGTGAAGCTCCTCTATCTCATGGCAGTCTGCATCGCCAACAATTCATCCATTTGTGCCAACAAGGCAGCTTGACCTTGCTTTTGGAGCTCTGTGCATCACAAACAAGGACATTGCTGGAACAGAGCAATAACATGGAAAGAAATGTGAGTTTCTGAGTCTATGTCCCAAGGGTGATTGTTCAACTAGAGGACAAAGTGTTGTGGTGCCCAACTGCCCACCCGACACAACATGTTGGAACAGAAAGGTGAACAAATGCATACAACAAACTAAACAGGAGCACTACCAATTGAAGAGAGATCATAATCATTGTCATCATCATCAGGACATTGGCCCATGTCAGGACTCCACCACAAGGCATTTGGCACCAGGTAAAAATATTTGATACCTGAGATCGCAGCAGCACAGGTCGCAACTTTCACTGCTGCTTTTGATGCAGCACAATGATGCGCACTCATCCACTAACACCTGGTCTAAAACACCATAATGTACTCACATTTGACAAGCGCATTGCATGAATATGGAGCAAGCTTTGGGGATAAGCAGTAGTTTCTCCCAAAGAACGACAATTCTGAAATCCACAACAACAGAAATGGGGCCCAAACAACAACAACGAATGCTCATGTAAAAATGCTTGCATGGGCACAGACTTCTTCTAGTTTCATCCTGAACATATGAATGCTAGAATGCATGAAAGCTAGAGTTTTGACTACTTAACTTACGATGCCGCAAATTCAAACGCTTGAAGTGACAATGGCAGCACTACAGGAGACCGTAGTCCTCACTGGGTACAATTCAGGTGATGTAGCATGATGTTCGCGGGCGTGACCTGGTGATCATTGACATTCCCCATCTCCCAATGCACACTGAAGTCCATGACTGCCAAACAGTGCCATACAGGACAGATTATGCATCATCTGACACCACAAGAACGGATCATGCTTTTTGAAGTTGTTTGCTTCTCCTCGCAAACCACGATCCTGTTTGCAGTGAAAGTTGATGAAGCAATACCAGCCACTGCTCACCTGACAATTCGAACCTTTCTATCTTGTCGCTGCCGAGGTTCTTGAGGCGGTCTTGACATTGGTGCAACACATCCAGAACAGTCGGTGGTCTTTTGCTCATTTCCAATACAGTCTGCTTGATCTTCCTCGTGGATGTGTATGCATTACTCTCAAGCACTCGTGCAAGCTGATCAATCAGCAATACGTTTGAAAGCTCCTGCATATAGTCTTCATCTTTTATTCTCAGAGCATCGTGGAATGCACGCACAGTCAGCTTTGTGACTTCCTTTAACAGTCGCTTTTCCAGCAGAATGTTTTCGACAAAGCTCACACTTTGATGCATCATCTCCATGGCAAACCCTAGGAATGATACAATGGGCCCAGCAATGGGTAGAGTGCCCACCACCTTCTCAGCAAATGCATCAGGGGAACCCAGGACTTTCACAATCTCCTCAACGGTCTCCATTTGATCCAGATGAACCGGTCCTGTCCTCTCATCACATTTGCTGTTGGCCCCCAGCAGTCCCTGCCACCCAACTGTTTGGTCCTGCAACAATTCGTGGACTGAACACACTCCGCGCTGCAAGGCAGTCGCCTAGCGGGCTGCCTCAGAAGGCGATTACCCTTTGAACTCTTGGTAATCGTCCCCGGTATCCACACACCACTCGGCCTCCCCTTCGATGTGCTCCACCACAGTGTGTCCCTCGCCACCAGATCCCCCCCTCTCCCCCCCCCACCCACCCACCATGCTGCAGCATTTGTACGGAACTTCTCACCCGGTCGTGCAGGCAACCACCTCAAGTTGACTCGAACCAACAGATGGACAGGCTACCAGCTGTCCAGCCTCTTTCTTTTCCTCCGCATCAGTACCCTGCCTACTGTGGGAGCCATCAGCCCGCCCAACACTGCAGGACTGACCTCCACAGTCCCCAAGAACTGAGTTTCCCCTGGTGTGGCCATCCCTCCCGCTTCAGGTCTTTTGTGAGGAAGGCGCCGCACAATACAGAAGCAGGGAAGAAGCAAGCTGGAGGTTCAACTGCACAGCCAAAGACACAAAGGTGAGTTGGAGGCTTTGCCTTTCTTTAGGGCTGCCTCTCCAAGAACATGCACAAACTATTGTGCGGG